GGTTTGTACAGACGCTGATTGTCTTGAATGTTTTTTCTACGAAATTTTTGAAATTTTTTTCAAAAATATATAGAAAAACGACCTATTTCTGACTACTTTCAACTTTGTTAATTTTGTTTAAAAATGTAACCTCTTTTCTTTTTTTATTCAAAAAAAGTATTCAATTTTTCATTGGAAATTTTTCAACAGTGGTAGGCGGGCCGGCCCGGCCCGGCCTTTTGCAACTATGATTTATTGTATACAAACTTGGTCAAATCAATGTTCAGAACTAATTTCAAAAATCTGAAAAAAGTTATCAATAATAAAACAGCCTCCGAATCAACCCGGGTACTTTTACCTGAACCATTTGCAACCAAAATGATGGCGGCGAAGAATATCCATAGCCAAGTAATCATTTTGATCTAGTGATACTGAACATTGAATCGAATTGTTTTTATAACGTTTTTTGAGATTCTCAAACAATAAAATTGGAGTGTTTTTCAGAAAATTTATAGTCTTGATGTCTTAAAACATGAGATTATGATGACGTTTTTTAGGTTCGAGTTTCCCGGGTTGGAAAATGATCAAAGACTACACCACGATATTCTGAAATTTACAGTGATAATATTACCATAATCCACACTATCGGCTTTTTCAGTTACTGCGGACGACCAGGTAATACTTTTTATGTTCTTAAATGTGGAAAAGTTCTGGAAAAGTTTGATATTTTTGAAGTTTCATTCGATGGTGAGATTGAAGGGCCCTCCGGGAAAGCCTTGGACGGGACGACGACGATAGGACGACGGTTCGACGAGATATCTCAAAATGACGACTTTCCCTGGACTTATAAACTTCATGGATTATTAGAAAGTGTTTAAGGATTATGTCCTCCATTATTCTAAGGTCTTTTCCCACAGTAATGAACAGTCGAGGTGCTCAGGAATGTAACCGGGGCTGAATGGTCCGGTTCGGGTCAGAAGTTCCATTTCAAGACCACCAGTACATTCCAAATTTTTTCCAACCCATGCCAAATCGTATTCTTGATGTTTTCACTTCGAATGATGCTGCCAACAAACATTAACTCGGCGTTCCCTGTTATTTTTTATCAATGAAACTCTTGCAGAGAGCCATATTTCAGTCAGGGCGACCTTATTCTGTCAGGTTTGTTGGTATCATAGTGGAACATTTTTCGGTATGTAATTTGATACCCTAAAATTACCGATTGCCAAAATTGCTGAACTTTTTTTCCGGTAATTGCCGAGTTGTCAAACTTTTCCATGTAGGATTGCCCAAAAATTTTTGCCGTTAGAGGAGAGGGGAACAGGATATTTTTTAAATTCAAGATTTACAAAAAAAACTGTTTTAAGTTGTAAATTCAAAAAAATGAACAACAGCATTGAAGGTATGGATCATTACAGGATGTGTCTGCCCTGCCTTCTACGCTGTGAATTTCACAAATGACAACTACTCGATGCAATGGTGGAATAATACAGTTGATGAAGTTGCAAAAGGATACGATGAGAATCATGTTGTTGCAGGAAAGCCATTCCGTCCAGCTTCCCAACAGCTCGATTGCTCTGTGTTTCTAACATGCAGCATTCAAGTGGCACCGGGATTCGAAAAAGTGGCTGTTGGCTTATATATCGGCACTACAAAAAACAAAGTAAAACACAGATTCAAAATGAGTATCTAATTTTAAAACTCTCAGGTTCACAACATTACCCGTATTGCTGGTAAAGACGAGATGTTTCGTCTCGAATGCGGAATGAATGGGAACTATTATTATAACGGTTCTCTTGTGCAAGTTGGTGCCTGCATTTCGGTTAGCTCTATAAATAATCCATAAATGGTCCCGAAAGTTTGTGTTTTCCTCGCGAATAAAATTGTTATTATTCAATGCCTATGAAATTAATTCAGGTAATCACTTATTATAGATTAGATGTATGTCATTGATAAGTAGGGTTTCCATTTGGGCGGGTGGAAAAAAGAGCCACCCGCCACCCGCTGGAGGGCTACCACCCACGGCCCCCCGCGGCCCCTTTATTTGCGTGTGAATTTTTATCTAATTTTTAATGATAATCACGTATTTTCCAAGAAAAAAGAGTTTCTGAAATCAAAAAACAGCAAAAAAGATAAAATTTTTTTCACGTAAATCATACTTGTAATCCGGGCCTTTGCCGGGCCTT